TAAGGTTTGATGCATGGAATAGTTTGCTCTGCTCTTTCACAAGTGGCCACATGTACTGTCAAGTCACTGGGGAAGCAGCATTTGCTGACACATGCAGTACAACTTCAGGCTAAGCGATGTACAAGATTATCCTTTTAAGCTTAATTGTTTGTGTTGTATAAAATATAGATGGTATCAGAAAGCCTGGCATTGTCTTGTTTGTTACTGGAATACAGACTTTCCTCTTCTTCCCCTTCCTTTTTTAAATGCAAAAGAGGTGCAAGAGATTTTTATCTCCACTTCTACTCCAGTTTCCTTTATGCTCCCTGTGTTCTGAATCCTGAGTTTGGTATCTTGCAAATCTATCCAAGGCCAGGTTGGATGGGGCTTTAAGCAGTTTGGTCTAGGGGAAGGTGTCCCTGCCTGTGGCAGGGGCATTGGAATTAGATGATCTTTAAGATCCCTTCCAACCCATGTAATTCTGTGATTCCACCCTCACTGCATAGCTGCATTGTAAACCTGCACAAGCTCAAGCTGAGCCATTTTGCATTTTGCGCTTGTTATGATTTTTTTATAAGGAGATGCCTTTTCCCAAATTAAGGTGCAAATGAGACCATATGCTGGAGCCAATAGTGCAAATTTAATTTAACATTAAATGTGTGGTAGAGAGAGAGAAATAGGAAAGAGGGGGAAGAGAAAGAAAGAGAGAGAGTAAGACTAAGTAGGAGTATCACCACCCCATGGATCCCATGGCATCCTGTGGTGGGAGTCCCCAAGTCATTCTTCTTTGCTATCACCTTTATGCTGTCCAAGTTCTGGGTATCCATGGGGCCTAGATGCCATTGCCATGACTTGGCATGTGTGTGAGCAGTTTTTCCTTTCTCACTGTTTGCTATGGTGGGATTTTTTTGTCCAGATGCTAACCAAGCCTTCAACTGTTAGGCCTGGAGCGAGCTCCTTCCTGCTGTGCCATCTGTGCTTATCTCATGTTTTCTTGTGGTGGTTTATTTTATAGCAAGTTTCTTCTGAGACCTTGACAGTGTTTTGAGATAGGCAGCTGTATTCTGTATCCTGTGTCCTTACAGTACTTGATTACCTTAGAAAACCAATCTTTTTATGTTCCCACTCCCTAACCCTTTGCATCAGTTTGGTGCATGGAAAGTGCAGGTCCAGGCCAGCTGGTATTAAAGACAGAAACTGGGATAATCGCAGTTGTTTGGTGCACTGGGATGTGTATGCCTTGATGGCTACATTTCTGAATGTCCATGAAAGTACTGGGATGCATTTGGGACCTGCCAGTGCTTCTCTGTGTAGGTGGAAATCATACAGATACCAAAGCTATCTCATGTACTTCATCCAGCCTTGGGGCTACCACCTGAATATGCTGATTTACACAACAGATGACACCAAGGACACCAAGATGCACAAGTGGGAAAAAATGCCAATCACCTTTACCTTCTGGCCTTAAATCAATCTAGTGAGTATCCTGAATAAAGGAGAAAGCTTCTAAGAGTGAGAGGTTCGTGCCTTGTTCCCAGCACACTGAGGAATCATTCCCAGTTCTCTTGTGCAGTCTGTATCTGCCCTTCCCATCAAAGAGGGCTTTTAAAAATGGAATAGTGTTGTCCCGAATCTGCTGGTGATTCTGAAGCCACTGTAAGTGGGTTATTGATTGCAAAGGGCTGGACACATCTGGTGCGCTCATGTGTGTGCCTCTGCATTTTGACCCTGCTCGTTTGCTTCTCTTTGAGGCCATGGGCAATTTTCTCAGCCAACACTATAGTTCTTAGTGTTTGTTTTGCTTTGAAATGAAAGGAAATATGAAAGTGTATGTTGTTATTATTCTCTTCCTTTAATCTTTGCTCAGAAGTTAGTTTTTTCAGACCTTTAATCATCTGTCTTTGTCTGAATTCCCCTCAATTTAATTCTGTCTTTCTGGTGCTCAACTGTTTACAGATGAATGAGGAATTGTATTGCTTTATCTCATTTTTTCCCTCATTAGAATGCTGGCGAAAGCCTGTGGTCACAAAAGACAGACAGTAGTTTAGGCCTTTTTTTTCCTTTTTGTATTGTTTAACCCCTTTGCTATTAGAGCTCTAAAGTGTTTCTATCACAAATGGATATTGTCATGCATATAAATTGGAAGAGAAATTGCACTGGAATAATGGTTACAGGCTGCAGCACCAACCACTAAGAAGTCAGAAAATGTCAGAGTTTAGGCAGCCTGTTCAGCTCTGTCTGATCACACATTTTTTTATTTTTATGTAGCTGCTGTCTGAAAGAAAGGCCATTATTTTATGTAAGACATTGTGTCCTCTCCATTACTTATTCTTTTTCTAAACTATTTTTGTTTCAAGTTTCTTAAAAAAAAAAAAAAGTGAGGTTAGGGTAAGCACAAATCTGAGCATTAATATTTTTTTTTTTTAAACAATAGTAAAAAAATCCCAAGACTTCAAACTGAGAAGTTTCTGTAAGGAAGGAGAAGTGGGTACTCTTAGAACTTTCCTGCAGAGAACAAATGCAGCCAGCTACAATATGCTTGTCCATGGGCAACCGCAAAATGCTACTGCTATGTACTCTACCATGCTGATGTACAGAAAATTTGTGTTCCCACTTCCCCAGTGGTGGAGTTATCCAAAATAAAATAAATCACAGTATCTTTAGAATTACTTTGTACTAGAATATAGATATATAATTTCTTGTCTGCAATTTATCTTTATATAGCAAAACTGACAAAATATTTTGGCTAGGCTAAAGAGAGAGCAAGCAGAATTTATTAAGTAAAGTAAGTGAAAAAATTCTGTTAGACAGAAAATCCAGTGAGATTCACTGACACTTTAAACAAACATGAATTAATCGCTTAACAGAATGTTTGGAGCAGTAAAGAGATTGAAACTGAAGATGTGTTTTGTGCTCACAAAGTTCATCAATAGTGTTATTGCCATTTCTACATGAAATCTGAACTTGTTTTCATGGGAGAGAATATAGTGCCAGAGGTACAGATTTAATTTGTGTAAGAAATGCCCCATCCCTGGAAGTGTTCAAGGGAAGGTTGGATGGGGCTTGCTGCAACCTGATCTAGTGGAAGGTTTCACTGTACATGGCAGGGGAAGTGGAACTGGATGGTCTTTAAGGTCCCTTGCAACCCAAGACATTCTGTGATTTCTGTTCTCTATAAGATTTTAGATTTCTTGTGGACTTGTTTTCCTGTAAACCCCCACTAGGAGACAGACTGTATTTTGCTCATTTTACATAACAATTACCATGCCCCCATGACTCCTCTTTATGACTGTGGTTCCGATCTTGATTCTACAGCTGCTTGCTCCCATTCTATCTCACTAGTATTCAACACTTTTTTCCTCCTAGTATGATTGCACCTCTCATGTAGCGGAGATAGAGCAGGTTTTACTCAGAGAAAATTACAAAGCCTATTTTTTGCAAACCTTGTCTGACTGCAAGTTTCTGGCTGCCCTTGTTCCACAGAAATGGCAATTTCAGCTTATGGAATTACAAAGCAACCAACTAAGTGAATCCTCTGTGCTTTCTTCTGTGACCGCATAAGTACTGAAGTGCTTTTCTCTGCACACCAGTGATCATTATTCCAGCAAAAGCAACCTGTGGCCTCCTCAGAATAGATAAGGACCTTTACAGAGAGACTGAGGTTTTAATATTTATTTTGCACATGTGCATGCACATGCAAATGTGGCTCACACATAATTTTTAATGAAAACACTAGGGCAAGATAGGCTTTAAAGTTAGGGCGAAAGCACCATTCTACTGTTCCTTGACTGAATACTGTCAACCCAATTAATACCCTGATAACGTCAGTGATTCCAGCTGAATGCCACTGCCAGAGGGCAATTTCTAGCTTATTTCTGCAAAGTATTTATCTAGAGATAATTACATATTAGCCTGATATATTTTACTTGCTGCTGCAATACAAATTGACCTGGCATTGAACCATATATTACAACTGTTTCAATTGTACTATGAGCATTCAAACCAACTGTAAAAAGTTCCCTGTATTGAGAATGGAGAAACTTTCTTTCTTGTTGCAACTGTCCTGTAGCTTTTTGTTTTAAAAATAGGTTTTAATTTTAATGTGGAATTAAATGATTGTAGCAATATGAAATATAAATTCTTACAAATATATGTGTGAAATTGTAGATGCAATCTCTTTCTTTCTTATCCAGGAGAAAGTCCATTGTTAATAAATCAAATAATGTGAAGTTTATTTGTTCTTTGATAAGTCAAATATCTCCACTAGATAATGTACCACCTTTTGGGTGTGACTCTGACCAAAAACTTCTTGCCCAAGGAAGGGAACACTTTTTTCCCCCTCTCCTTAGGTCATTGTGTGCACAGGTTTCAATAAAATTGTTTTCATTGCTGGATCTTGTATATCTGATCATACCCCATGGAAATAAATGTGATAGAAACATCTGAACAGGATATTTTAAGACTTGGCATGTTGCTTACACTTGGCTGAAATCAAACATTACCCAGACACTGCTGAATGGCAACAGACTGAAGTGGTGAATCCACAAAGTCTTCCTTCAAGTTGTGCACCCCTCTTGAAAAAAATGCCAAATGCACCTGCAGATAGGGCTGAGAGTGATTCAGGTGCCTGGGATGGGTGTCAACAAGTTCATCTTAAGGTATTTTACATTTGAAAATTTCCAGTTACAATGATCTGTGACTGACTTCTCCCTGTACAAGGGTCTGTTCTGCCTATATTGTTCAGATATGCCTGTAAGATGTTATTTGAATATCTTATAATGTTATTCTTAACATTTTTATTCTTTTTTTTTTTCTAAAGGCCTCTTTAAAATGAGAATATGAGTCAGGAATCTCATAGAAATTTTAGAAAAAACCGCTTGTGTATTGGTGCTTTCTATTAAAAATGTAGTACATGTTTATCATTATGATGATAATGTGTAAGTATGTATCAAAGGAAAACACTAGGGAGTCAAAGCCAATACGGTAAATAATGTCTTTTACTTGTTCCTCTTTACAAACAGATATTCAAGAGTTTTATGAAGTGACGCTGCTAAACTCCCAGAAAAGCTATGAGCAAAAAATAGAAGAAGCAAATCAAGTTGCAGAGAAATGGGAGAAGACAACATCTGCTACAGACCATGAAAATCTGCAGAAAAAACAGGAGGTAATTTAACAGATTAAGAATTAAAACATATGTAATGAGTGAGATGTCTCAAACCTGAGAAAAGCCATGCAATGGTGTATAAGAGGGAAAGGATGGGTTAATTAAGGCATTAGATTGGGGTGTGAAGGATATATATACATTTAGTGTTATCCCTCTGACCTTGATTATGTTGCAAACTTCTTTATCCTTTCAATTGCAATCTGTCAAAGGGAAAGTAGAAAACTTCCATTTTCTCATCCTTTGTATGCTTTATCTGATACTTGGTGTCTGTGATTACCCCCCAAAAGAGAATATATCTTCTGTACTTGCTGATAACCACTGAGGTTATTAATACTCCAGTGATTAGATCCTGCATAAAAATTTTAATATGACTTTTCACATTTCTATGACTGACATTGGGCTGAACTCTTCCACAGTCCAAGTTCACAGAGATCAACCAAAATGATATCTGCACGAGGAACAGATACACAGAAGGTTGCACACCTTTTCTCCACTGTAGCCAGTGGAAGCATTCAAAACCTTTCTTTGTCACCCCCAACTCTAATCTGCCTTTGCCAGCTTCCAGATTATTATTAACTATATTAGCAATCTAAACTACTTGCCTCCACCCACATTTGTACTTCAAAGATTGAAACACACCCCACAGAAGCAAGCAATGCGTTGCTCTGTTCTTAAACAGTGAAACAGAAATAGGGTGGGCATGGAATGCAAACTGCAGATCTCCAGACCAGAATCAAAGATGAAGGAAATGTATAAAAATTTTCATTGTTGTCATGGTAAGTAAGGCATTTCAAATTTTAGAAGTTGTTGGCAAGAACTTTCCCATAGGCATGACTATTTTTAAGAGCTTTCCTCCTTTTTAAAAATTTAAAACTCAGACAGAAATTGTAGTTCTACATGACATTTTAGATGTGATTCTTTAAAAAGATAAATCAGGCGGCCAGGGAAAAACTCTCTGAAGAAATGAAGAAATTTATTGTAAAAATTAATTAGCAAAAGAAGCGTACAGAAGTAATGAGAACAAGCGTTCCGGTTTTGCGTGAAATCAGAACAAATGAGTCTTAATAAATGTAGGATATATCCCATGAATGATTTAACATTTGAGTCACAGTTTGAAAGCACAGACAGCTAATATCTGTCTTTTATTTTTTTAATTTTATTTAGTAAGCACAAATCTTTATGCTTTAAAATGGTGAAAGTGTATTCCTGTTACCTCTTGGAGCATCTGATAAAGACAGTGGCCAGACTCTCTTTTTATTTCAGCCTCATCAAAGTATTTGACCCTCAACCCCACCTTTCTTAAACTCATTGCTATCTAAGAGGTATGCTGCTGGTCTTGTACAGGGGAATTTGAACTCTAAATTCTGTGCTGCAGATAATAGATACAGGGCCCATTCCAGACTTTTCTTATTTTATGAAAAAAATGTTTTGATTTAACGGAAAACAATAGAAAACTATAGCATAGAAAGTGAAATAGCCTTTTCAAGGCACAGTGCTCGCAGTCAGAGTCCAGGGTACCATTTTCAAATTTGCTGTCTCTCCATAAATTTCATCAGGGCAATGGGAGAACAAAATGTTTAGTCCCTTTAAAAATCATACATATTTCAAGGGCCCAATACAGGCAAGAGAGACTGGATTGTAGGCTTTTGTTTTTTTCCTTATGACAGCTCAACATACTATCGGCAGTTCTGAGTCAGAACTGATTAGTGCAACATGGATGTACAACCTGCTGTACAAATCCAAGATAGCCCTTTGCTTTCTATGAAAAATTATCATATGAAAATGTAACCAAATAATCTATCATGTAAATTCTTATTCATGGTCCATTCCTCATGGGAAATGATTGTTTAGTACTTTCTTTTCCATCCCTCAATTACATGTCCCACATTTGGAAAGAAAAGGCCTCCCTTCTTTCATAGAATCACAGACTTATGGAATGGCTTTTGTTGGAAGGTACCTTAAAGATCTTCTAATCCCATGGGCAGGACACCTTCCACTAGAGCAGGTTGCTCAGAGCCCCATCCAACTTGACCTTGAACACTTCCAGGGATGGGGCATCCACAGCTTCTCTGGGCAATCTGTTCCAGTGCCTCACCACCCTCACAGTAAAGAATCTCTTCCTAATATCTAATCTAAATCTCCAGTCTTTCAGTTTAAAGCCATATTCCCTTGTCTTATCACTACATGTCCTTATCAAAAGTCTCTTTCCAGCTTTCTTATAGGCTCCTTTCAAGTACCAGAAGGCTGCAATTAGGTCACTCCCAAGCCTTCTGTTTTCCACACTGAACGATCCCAGCTCTCTTGGCTTTCCTCATAGGAGAGGTGCTTCATCCCTCTGAGGATGTCTGTGACCTCCTCTGGCTGTGCTCCAGCAGGTCAATGTCCTTGCTGTGCTGCTGGATGCAGCACTCGAAGCCCGAGGATAATCAGTCAGTCCAGAGGCCATCCTCCTTTCATGCATTCCACTCAAAACCTTCCTTGGCTGTCTATATGTAATTTTTTTCTGTATAAATGGGTCCTTTTTTTTGCATTTGTTTTCCAGTCTTAATTGTTGATAAAAAGGAAAGCAGCTTTTACCACCTTCTCATCCAGGACAGGTGTCCTCTGAGCCTTCCTTTGTATTTATGTACTTGCTTTCTGAAAGTGTAGGTTTTTAGATATGAGAAAAGCTGTTAGGTTGTTTGCAATACTGTACAAATTTGCCACCTTGCATCTGTAATCATCATACTGGATTTTAGCAAACTGGTGCTAGATCTCACAGCCTACTGGGGCTGGATCTTCACTGCTTTAACTAGACATGAAAGGGTCATGACCCATCCTATAATCTCCTATCATTCTCAGAGAATGCCTGAAAAGAGAGATGTCTCCCAGACTCAGAGACTGTAATTTTGAATGGCCTCTGTAAAAGCAAGTGAGAAATTAGTGGAATATAACAGCTCACAGTATGTGTCAGAACCAGTAACATCCAAATTTTTAGTGTGAATGCCTCCACATAGCATCCCGTGACTACAAAACAATGGAATTAACAAAAAGTGTTGGGGTTTTAGTGATAGTTACTGTTTTGGGGTTTTTTTTCTACACTTTTTCTTTGTTTTGGTTTGTTTTTTACTTGCATGCTTCTAGCTAAATTCTGTGTTGTTTAGGTTTTAATCCTAGGATCCCCTAGTCCCCATGAAATTGGTAAATATTTAGGTATATATTTATTTGTGTGTGACTATGAATTTAAACATCACATCCTTGCTTTTTGCTTCATCATTAACAACTTCGTTGGTCATCTGAATAAGCAGTAACTTCAATGTTTGCAGATGAAGAATGCACTATTACTTACCATCACATTATTATTGCATTTCTCCCTGTATAGAGACTAAATATATGTGTCAATGTATCTGGCAGAGCTGTAAATATCATAGACGAAAATAATTCAAGTGGGTGGGTGTTAGTGAAAAGGAAGAAAGAAGGACCTATATGAATGTGTTTTTTGAGTGAATTTATCCATGTTGCTTTCCCTCCTGTAAATGCAACTTGATAAAATCAGCTTAAGTTGGTGGATAGTTTCAGAATCAATGAAGTTTTAGGGTCATGTTCAGATTCACTAGAAATGTTTATGAAGTTCTATTTGCAAAGGCTGTTTTTGTTTCATATATTCAGATAGGAAGCAGGGAATGTGACATTGGGCATGTGACTAAATGAAAAAGTCCAACATGTTCATCATGATGTAGGAACTCTAGAATGTAACTCCTAAGAAGACCTAAAATACCCCTGTTGTCCATTCTCTTGCCCTGGGGCAGATCAACTGCATTTCAACCATTCCTGTCATGTTTGCCTAGTCTGTTCTGTAAAACCTCCCACAGTGGGGAGTCAACTGCTTCTGCAGGTAGCTTATTTCCTCACTGATGGAAAGCCTTTCCTGATGACAAACTGGAGTTTCTCTAAGTGCAATTAGAACCCATTAGATTTTGTTCAATTAGCAGTAGACATGGATAACATTTTATTTAGTTCTGTTCCAAAAAGCACTTAAACACATCACAGAATCATGCAGCATCGCAGAAAGGTTTGAGTTGGAAGGGACCTTAAAGATCATCAAGTGCCAGCTCTCCCTGCCCTGGGCAGACATGGTCCAGTAGACCAGGTTTCTCAAACCCACCTTCAAACTGGCCTTAAACACGCTCAGGGATGGGGCAGCCACAGCTTTTCTGGGTTCCAGTGTCTCACCATCCTCATTGTGAGGAAGTTTCTTGTAATATTCAATCTAAACTTAATCTCTCACAATGTAAAGCCATCATCCCTTGTCCTATCCCTCACGTGTTCTTGTAAATAGTCCCTCTCTTGTAGCCCCCTTTAGGTCCTTAATGAGGTCTCTCTGGAACCTTCTCTTCTCCAGGCTGCATAACCCAGACTCTCTCAACCTGTTTTTATAGGAGAGTTGCTCCAGCCCTCTGATTGTCTTGGTCTCTTCTGGACTTGCTCCAACAGATCCACATCCTTCTCGTGACAGGGATCCCAGAGCTCAATGCTTTACATGCCTCTATAACAACAAATGCTAGGTTGTAATGAAAAATCTTGTCTTTTGGGATAGAAAATATTTAGTTCTCTTAGACTCTTCTCAAAGGAACTGTACTTAGAGGTATGAAATATTTTAGTTTCCAAAACAAAAATCCTTGAGGCACTGTGAAAAGCAATTAGTGTTGACAGCACAGGCACTATATATCTCTCTATAAATCTCCAAATATATAAAAAAAATTCTGGAGACTACTTTGCAAGATTTATGTATTAATGAAAATATTAACTCAGGATTTGGGAACAGCGGGTTTTAATTTCTTACTGCTCTGTGTACCTCCTAAAGGACTGTATGTGAAGTTTGAGAAGAGAACTTAAGAAGTAATGAAAGGGAACTGGAAACTACAGTGTCTGAGGTATCTCACCACATGGAGATATCAGTTAAGGACCATATCTGTGGGGCACTGCATGGGCAGAAGTAGTTGTTCAGGATTAAAGCCCAC